AGCTGTAAATCAGTCGTTTTAGGACAGTACAGTGCTGCTTTTTTGTACACGCAGTATGGTTTCTTTTGAGTTAACCATCTAACAAGGAAAACAGCTCTGAGCTCATTTAAGTGTGAACTGGAAACTCGTTAGAAATGTAACCTTGAACAGGAAAGAAAGGAGTATTTTAAGTACTAATTAAACGTAATTATGTAGTATTCAAAAAAGAATTTTATGTTCAGTTGCCGGCGAAAGTTAGGGACAGTGAAAAGCAGCGAAATACAAGCATTAATCTGCTCACTTCCCCTTCCACGGTCAGTGACGTTTCCGTGATATTCATACAGAAGTCTTGTTTAAAGTGTCGGAGAAAAGTTTAATTTCAATAGTTTTCCTGTTATAATTCGGTTTGGGGCATTTCCGTTTCTTCTTGAAATACAAGTGACGGTCTTCATCTATGGATCAGTTTCGCTACCGGAGACCTTTTTGTAAAATGTTTAAAATGCTTAGAACAAATCTCAAAATGTAAATACTGAATTGTCAAATCTTGGTAGAGTTCGCCCTTTACTTTTGTTCAAACTTGCAACATTATTTGTTTCACGCTACACGCATACCAGTAGTTTCCTGACAAACTAAACTGACATACAAGCTATGTAAAAATGTAAATAAGACGAGTACTTGCTGGTCTATGACCACTACGTAGAGAATACCATTACATACCATTAAATACTCTTTCTTGGTCACTCCAAAATTTTGTATAAGCATTGTTTTCAGTTTCTCATGGGGCCATTTAAACTCAAAAAAAAAAAACTAAAGACAATGCTTATGGAAAATTTTGGAGTGACCAAGAAAGAGTTTCATGGTATGTTATGGTATTTTCTGTAGAGGTCAATTAGGCTGGTATCCTGGTATTTATGAAACCGCAGACCTTTTTACACGGATCGGCCTCCTGTCAACACGAAACCAGGGAATCCGATCACCGAAACCGCATTATTTTAAATCCGCACCCCAAAGCAGTTTTAAGTCCCCGTCCACACGAATTAGGATAAAGAATATTCGGTTTCAAAAATGTCTGGATTCGTGTGGACGTGGCCTTATTTAGAAAAAAATAGATTCATTACATTTCTGACAGCTAAATTAACAGCAAAGGGCCCAAAATTGTGACTGCTTTTGATTTATTCACATTCTTTCGTGCAGATTTAATTCAATCAGAAGTCAGCTGGAAACTATACTCGACTTCTGATTGGTTAAATAATGTCTGCATGAAAGAATGTGAATTAATCAACGGAGGTCACACTTTCGGACTTCTTCTTGTCCCCTTGTGGGAGACAATTTTTCATGGGCGTAGAGCAGGGTAAAAAGAAAGTCATTTTTACAGCTTACCATTAGGCAAGCTGGAGCTAGCATCTACTAGCCCAAATGTCATTTCAACCAGCCCCAAAAACGTTTTGATGAGCAGAATTGATTTCACATTTCTTCTGTAATTTAAATTCCTCAAAAAACTTTACTTGCCCGTGGGCAAGTTAAGAACAAAATTCACTAGCACGATAGCAATATCCGCTAGCCCCGGGCTATCGGACACGACTTTCTTTGCACCCTGTAGAGGGAGGACGAGTTTTCGGTGTTCAATTAACAAGTCAGCGGTGTCCTTAACCGCTGCGGTAGGTGCTTGATATATGGGAATACAGTCAACTCGCGAGAACTCCATTCTCGTCCCCAGAGCCACTCGGCTTAATTGTAGACCACGTGACCAAGAAACGACGGGCTCTGGGGACGAGAATGCGATAACTCGAACCTTCAAGGGAAATCGAAAAAAGTTCGAGTTATCGAATAGCCGGAAGTAAGGGAAAAACCAGTTTTTTTTTACTGTACAGTGAACATTTTAACATTTAAGTGTAGAAATGCCAAGTTTCTTGTAGCTCATCGAATTAATTTCTAATTGGATATTGTGTAGTCTCTTTGTATATACTAGACTGGGGAGTGTGGTGGGGGGCGGGGGGGGGGATAAAAGTAATATATGTTTGCGTTTAGGATTTTGCGTGCCGTCCGTATTGGAGAAACACTGGTCGAGGCAGTCCTTTTACAGTGAAACCTCGCCTTACGGCCACCTCCGTAATACGGTAACCTCGTTATTACGGCTACTATTTTTTGTCCGCCAGGCAAAACGGTCATACATTTTCTTGTAAAAAATACCTCGTTAATACGGCCATTTTTTTGGCTCATTGATACCCATATTAACGGAGTTCCACTGTACCAAGAGTATAGACCTTGTTTACGTTCGGTTTGTAGACTTAATACCGATCAAAATGAGACAAATGATCTTTCATATTTAATGGTTTAACTGCCGTCCCGTTTATTTACTCCTAAAAAATATAACTGGAATTATATTAAGTAAACTAAGTGAGGAATGTTTGAGGACGCACCCACACTTCCCAGTCGGCAGTGACACCCCGTTTATCATCCTGTCGCGATGCCATGCCTCTCAGTGGCGCCAGTTATTAGATCAATGGTGTTATCCGTCCACAGCGTTGAAAGAATGGGGGATCACATGACAAAAGCATGATATAAGGCCGTAGAGAGTTGAGGGATTACGTCACATGTGGTCTCTTTTTTCTTACCTTGGATATATATTTTTTTCTTGTGTAGCGTTTACGAGTGGTTCGTAATGGCACAATAAGCGGGGTTCTACCTGGTGTTTTCTGATATACCTCTCACTTCGTTTTTTAAAATATAATTTCAGTTATAGAGGCAGGACGCTTGGTATAATTGGGATTAAAATTAATAATGGTAATTGGACTCAGTGAAGGCCAATTTGGTCTGTACACATACGAGTGATTAACAAAATCGGACGAAGTCCGCGTAGCGGGAGTTCGATTTGTTTAATTTACGAGTATGATTGCAGAACCAATTGGAAGACGTGAAGTTCTGTTACCAACTAATCATAACTATCACAAAATTTGTGATATTTTAGGCTTTTTTCTAATTAAGACAAGAAATTTCTAGATTTTTGCAAGCAGTGAAAAAAGCTAGTTAACCGCTCGCGTGCGATGACGCGTACTGTCCTATTAGTGCTGGCCCTAATCTCGGTTAAACTGCCGTCCCGTTTATTTGTTCCTACAGGGACAAGGACAAGTACAACGGCCGCACAACTGTGGTTCAAAATGGGTAGGTAATGTCGGTTGCCCACTAGCCGGCGTTAAGGGGAGGGGGGATGGAGGGTAAGAAAAGGGAAACGCTTGCTACAAAAGCCGCGTCTTTTGCATTTCGCCCCTTATTTCAATTATCCCAGCTGTCACTTAAACGACCAATCAGATTTAGGCCGGCGCTTTTCTGCATGACTGACTTCACGCGGGAATGTAACGCCAAAGGCGATTTCGTAGCTGTAGAGCATGAGGAAGTCGAGAAAATCTTCGCAACAGAATGTCGGCGCCGCGACTCCCACAAAAATTTGTAAAAAAAAAAAACCAATGTAAACGTTCAACAAAGCAGCAGTTAAAGATTTTATGGAGATAACTTTACTTCAGGGGAAGGACGAACCTCATTTGAAAATTTATTTTCGCCGTCAGGAAGAGTTGAAAGTGCGGGGCTGATTTTAGCTCATTGTTGCGGCTCCACCATCCACTTGAAGTAGATTTTGGTCGAGAGTTTCTTTAGTTTATGGAATCTGACTTCTGACTGGTTCAATGTTTCACTAATGTCGGCCGAACAAAGTAGTCAATTTAGTAATGTTTCCCCAGCCAAAGATATTCATAGTAACATCAACCGATTTGGTTGATACTGAGAGGAATTATGCACATCTCAGAAAGTGTTATGTGCGGGCCGATAACCGGCAGCGTCCTCGATCAACCTTATTCTCCATATCGTCCTCATTCTGATCCAACAATTGCTGTCTCAGGACATTTTTTGGCCGTGAACAGGGGCTTCTGTTAAATATTTATATGGGCTGTCTGTTGTTGTTGCTGTTGAACTTCTTGTGTTAGTACAATACATCTATGTACCAATCCAGAAGTTTAAGGCAGCCCGGTAAACCATCGGTCCTGTACCCGGCCAATGTTTGCACAAGTCGGACTGAACAAGATGGTTAATTTACAATATTTTTCCAAGCGTCCTGATTGTACTGTATTTTTTTGTCTTTCTTTAGCTCTTTGGGTGAGAGTGGTCATCGTCATCGGCATCTTTGGCCTTGCTTTGGTCATTACTGTGTTTGTCTGTCGTTGGATTTGTTGGTTTTGTCAGAAGAGAAGAAAGAATAAACAGGAAAACCAGGTCCAAACAGAGCTCAGCGAAAAAGACACAAAAGTACATCCTGAATTCAAAGGGCTTTGTGATTTTAACAGTCCCTCTGGCGTGTACGTTTAAAGTGTTGTCTATGCATTGATTGAAAGATACCTCGACTCACGTTCTGCTGAGCTACTACGAGGGTCTCTCGAGAGCGTTGCGTTGCGTTACAGATACAGGGTGAGCCGGAATTGGACTAGTTTCTTTAATGGCAGCGTCTCTTAATATATATAGGATATTACGTGGCCGCGCGGAGATACAAAATTTCTCTTCGAGTGAGCGCAGCGAACAAGTGAAATATTTTTTTCAACACAAGAAGAGAAATTTCGTATCTCCAAGCGACCATGCAGTGTTCTATTTGTTATATAAACACCAATGAAATACCAAACCATTTTTAAATAGTTTTTTGCTCTAAATGGTGCGGTTTATTATGAAGCCATAGCAGCGGTGATATTTTCACATGCCGCGAAGATATCAAGTTTTCGCGAGAAAGCTCACTTGGTATTTCATTGGTGTTTATATAATAAAAAGAATATATTTGCTAGACTGTGTACTGTGTACAAAAAAAAATGATCTAAGAAAAGGGTGGGCGCGATTCCTGAAAGAGTAAAAAATTGAAATAATTGTATTTACCTTCCCACAGTCTAATTTTGTGTAGTTGTAACGTAGATCTATGGGTAAAAGCTCAACAACACTTTCTAAGCTCCAGATACATGTTCGGCTGGGCCCAAGTTTGGAGTTTCGAGAAAACTGGGCGTAAGTAAGTTGTGCATCTGCATTAGAAGATTATTTAACTCTTAAATATTTTCTGAGTGGTCATTCAAAGGTGCTGTTTTGTTGGTCGTCAGTCGGTTAAGCAGTGATATTATAGGCTATTTGCGTTATCAGGTCATTTGACCTCTTTTATATGAACACAATCGCTAGAAAGATAGAGAAAGACAGTCAGAAAACTACTGTAAGGACAAAAACGAAAATTGTATATACATCTATATAAGAAAGAGAAAGCCGACCAATAGGTATTAGATGTGTAAAGTTCTATTTTGATTGATCGAATTATTGTTTTTTATTGATATTATGCGATGATTTCAAAACACGAATGAGTTTATAACGGTGACTTAAATTGCTTCTGTATAACAGAGACAAGAGAGTTGTATTATGTTGTAGTTTTGAAGTGAATAAAATTCACTTTAAAAGTATTTATTTCCCTTTTCATAAAGGTTTAATTATCACTATAGAGTTGAACTTCCATTAACCCTTTGAGCCGTAAGAGTGATCAGCATCAAATTTCTCCTTGTAATATCAATGCTTTATAAAACAGATTGGTGATGAGAATAATGGACATGATCACACAAGATGAATTTGCTTGATATTTTATCAACTTCTCCCCACTACTTCTGGAGGAAATGAATAATTTTGATCTTAGGGTTTCAAGGGTTAAAGCGACCACCCTTGGGGTACCAGCAAGTGGCCGGCCAATAGAGGTTCATTGTATATTAGGTATAGTAACAACAAACACGCGAGCGGCATTACTGGTCTTCAATCAATTGTGACCTTCTTTTTTGGACTCCATTTTCTTTTAATATATTTTTAAAATAAAGCCAAACTAAGTGTATTCGGCGCTTTATGGTCGCTTAATGGGAGTAATGGGAGAACTCTCGTTTGGATGGCCAAGTGGTGGCCGTGGCCGGGTGGTTGTAAGGCCTGGTTCAGAAGCCGAACTTTTCATGAGCCCAAATTTCGACGTCTGAATCGATCTCGAACGTCTATTTCAATTTGGAACGGCTCAGCCGTTCTTCCCGCCTATCCCGGCCGGGAATTTCGACTTTGAAGTGACCTTGGAACGGTTTTGATTCAGACGCCGAACATTCCACATGCTGAACCTAATACATAAGTTATTTAACGTATTTTGCAAGCATTTTGACCGAAATGAGCATTTTTCTCCTTTTGAATTTAGTTCGGCGTCTGAATCAATTCAGCCGGTCTAAATAATTTAGGTCGGCCTCAATTTGAATTATGTTCGGCTCATAATAGTGGGGCGTCTGAACCGGGCTTTAATGGAGGTTAGCCTCTTAAAATAGGGTGGCCGCTTAATAGGCGACTGCCTAATGTAGGTTCTTCTGTATTTAGTTATGTCCAACACTCACCACTTGTTCAAGCCGTATGAATGAGATTAAAATACAGATTCTAAATAAAATGTTTACCATCTGTACGATTGGTTCAAGCACTGAATGTGATTGTAAGTGAAATGAAGTGAGTTTTATAATCGTGAAACCGTATGTCATTATAGGTTTTGCAGCCAGATTAGTGAAGTCTGTTATTAACTTGCTCGATGGGCAATTTAAATTACAATTTAAAGTACTAATTATAAAAAGTGTTTAATTGCCCACCGGTAATAAATTCACGTGGATCAATAGTTGTTCTTCAAGCTGATCTCTTGCAGTGAAATTATTACAGTTAATAAGCAAGGAATTGATGGTGATTAACTTATGGTGTAATTAATTAAAATATCATGGGTGAAAAATTACTCCTGGGATGCTAGTCTTAACGAACCAGTTCTACGACTTACTGGAATGCTTGTCTTATTTTTGTTCCCAATAAGAGGCCAGAATCTATCGCGCTGCTTTCGTGATCTTCTTGTACGAAGAAGTTTACTCCCCATCTCGACTGTTCTCCTCGATACTGTATTTCAAACGGAAGATCAGTTTAGCACTACACGTCCTAAACTGATGTCAAGCTGGAAGAGATTGATAGGAATTTCAGGCTATTCTTGAAAAAGGAAGGCACACTGCATTCAGCTTTTCGGCATAGTGTCAATTCATTTTTGGTAAACGAATATGTTAATCGTAGTATTCTTCTAACAGCTAGATCCGCGGAACGGGCTTGGAGAAGCCCTCGTACAACTCGTATCACTTGACAATTCAGTCAATACTGCAAAGAGTGGAATAAACGATGTTTGTTTGTTTGTTCGGTCGCTGTCATGTTTCTTGGTTTCAGGCCCCATTCGTACGACTCGGTAGCGAGTGCCTCACAGGATAAAATAACAGATTCCCATTTTTGGATATTTTAGGGTATTTAAAGAATACCCACAAAAATCCCAAATTTGGAAGAGTGAGACAAGTCCCAATCAGGGAACTTGGTTGGGAATTCCCTGGTTGGGACTTGTCTCACTTTGCCAAATTTGGGATTTTTATGGGTATTCTTTAAATACCCTAAAATATCCAAAAATGGGAATCCGTTATTTTTTCCTGTGCCTGGGATCTAAGATCTAAGATCAAAGATGGCGTCCTCCTCGTCGAACACTTGTGTTTACCCGGTGTTCAGCCTTCATTTCGCTTAAAAATCAAGCGGCATAATTTAAATGCGAGGAGCATAATTCAGAGAAACGACCATAATTCCGGCATGATTTCCAAAAACTCTGAGGACTGCTGGGAGTATAATAGCTCGTTTTTCGAGCACAATCGACAAAAGCCTACTTGAGTGTCCTTGACATGCAGCCAGATGACGTCCTAGGCGCTGATTTCTAAACTTCATTGTATGCTTTCGGCCAATCAGAAAAGAGATAGTGAGTTGAATGTACAATAATGTCAGTAATTTGCAGAAAGGTTTTACTGAAACTCGCTTTGAGGACGTAGATCTTACTAAACCTCAGCCATGCAAGTACTTTGTCCATATGGATAGAGGAAGTCTAAGCCAAGAGTTAAGAGTGAACTACGCAAACAGCAGTATACTGTGACACTTTTTGACAGCAATCATTTGGCACATGTAATAGTTCCTTGACAAATGCAAAAATTTATGCGTTACTGTACAGTTTTTGGTTTGTTTTATTTTGAATTTGAGGGTAATTTCCAAGTACAAGCCCCCGGGGACTTATGATCACTTTTTGGAGGGACGATTTAACGGAACGTTTTTTGAGGTTTCGAGTTTTGGGGGCTTATATTTGGAGGGGCTTATTTCTGGAATTTTACGGTAGTCTGTATATAATGAAAGTCTTTCCCCTAGCCTACCATAGCCAAATACCCCCAGCAAACCGCAGCCATTTCTCAATGACTGGAGTTTATTTATTCAAGACAACTCGAACGACTGGGCTGTTGGTTATTTCGTTTGTCTGAGGATGTATATATACGTCCTTGGTAGGCATTGGGTTTAAAAACAAGTATTTAGAGTCCAAGCTCTGTCCCCAAAGAAAACAAGGATTTTGAGGGAAAACATAGGATTTTTACACAATTGAACACCCTTACTTCCAACTTCCAAGTCCAAGTTACTAACAAGTTCGATACTGGAAAGATGTACCAAAAAACCTTTACCATCTTAATCCAACCTTAATTTCACTGGCTCCCATTAAAAGCATTAAGAATTGTTTTCATGCTAATATTATATCAACAATCATTGTCAACATTATATAATCATCACTTTTCATTATCATCGAAATCAAAATACTAGTGCATCTTTAAGTCAAAGCTTGATTCCCATTCAGAATATTATTATTGACCCAGATACACGTTATGGTTCCATTTTATTTTTTTTTTCTTTCAAACTTGCTTTTATAGTCTTATCATTCCGGCAGAAAACAGGGGAATAAAGACACGCTTTATAATATAATGTGTAGATTTAGTCAGGGCTAAAATCGTCGCTCCGGTTACGTAATTTATAATTTCAAACAATAAACTTGTAATCCACAAGTCAGTTAACTTTAGTGGAGATCCATATGACTTTTAGGGGTGGGGCTGGGTGATTTTAGAGAAGAAATAATTTGCAAACAGTGCAAGAATAAAACAACACCTAAAATTTTACACATTAAATAGCAATCACCTTGAACTACAGTAGATTAGGCATGTAAAACAAATTCGTCCCAAGCAGAATGGCCTATTTGCCCACCTACACCACCTTCATTTGTAAGGTTAAGTGGAAAGTCCCGAAATATACTATGAAGCTGAGGTCGTTAGACACGATAGTCCTCGGTGGCAGCAAATTTACACGCAGTATGACTACTTTTTATCTCGCTGTCTAAAGGAAAGGCCAAAATGAAAACTGAATCAGGCCGGATTTTTTTTTGTTCTCTACAGGTTTACTTTACAAATCTGGTGCTGGTAGCGCGTAAACCAGCCTTTTTACATTACTTCAAACGTAAACAGAACTATCAGGCGTTGTTTGTTTATCGTTCAGTCCTCGGAGAAAATTACTTATAATTCTGCAGTTTTTACAGAACAATCCGCTTACAAGACAAATTACACTCATTCAATATTCAGGACGATGGAAGCATGCGCTTCCCAACCACAACAAATTATAAAAACTAATGACAGCAACATAAAAGAGTCATAAAACGTTACGAGTATAGAGAGAATTCACCATTAGACGGGACCGTTCAGTCAGGTTATTCTACTGTTATGCAATTATGCAGGGTACTAAATAATCGGCTTTGAGCAAAAAGTTTCGTAAACATCTATATCTTAAATATAATTTCCAAAATCACCTGTCCGCTTAGCCACTTCTGAATTTCCAGAACTTCCAGAGCGAGTTGTTAAGAGTGTTTGAATGTACACTAGTAGGAAGAGGTCTCAGAATCATTTTCGTATGCATTTTACTTCGAAACTCCATTTATAACATAGCTAAAATATTCGCCTAATCAAAATCAATAGCGCGAGCGTGCTTCATATTCTTACTACTCACGCTGATGACGTCAATAAACTATACCTCGAGTTCTTGTGAGCTTAGCAATCCTAGAAGACGTCTCCCAAGTGCATCCATAACTCAACAGTACACGATGAAGTGTTAACCATGTGTTTTATAACATAACTTTAAGAGAAAAATTTTAAATTTGGTAAATGACAGTAGCGAACAGAGGTGAGTGTTGTTGTTGTTGTCCGCAAATCATTTCTTTGCAAAGTTATTTCTTTGAAAAAGAATTTTTCGTGGAAGTAATAGTTTTCCGGCACCTCAATATGGATTTTACAATCTTTTTTAGTGTTATTTTAAGCGACTTGAGTAAACATTTCTCTCACTTTCAAGACAAAAACATAACTGTGAGGTAAATAATATAATCACGTAGACATTGACGAGTACTGTATTTAAGTTAACCGGTGCACACCCTGCGAACAGAGTCTCCTGAACGTTCGATCTATAATTTTCTCAAAATTCCTGCATGAAATTGAAGCGGCAGCTATTTGTGTTTTTATGGAGTGTGGGCGCAGAAAGAGTCAGCAAAACTACAGAATACGCGTGCGTGTACAGATAAAACTGGTTTATCCAGTTTGAAACTGGTCTAACTCATCCAAAATCTCGGGATGATCGGCAAATCAAAGGAATTTGAAGATGTCGGCAGAGTCGCTTCCTCTTTCCCGACCTATCTAGGAAAGATCGAAGAGAACTCTGCTAGCAGGGTAACTGCTGCATTGATCGCTTTGACAATGTTGTGAAACAATTAGTTCATGCTTCAGCTGTGCGTATGTCGAGATATTGACCACTTGGGAAGTTTGAGGGGCATTCAAGAGGCTTGAGTTACTCTCTGCTGCGCCTCGAGCAACTCTTACGGCTCATTCGTGCTCTCCACACTTCCCGCGTCCTCAATATCTCGACATACGCACGCTGACTCATGAACTAATTGTAGAAATCCATTTGATACACGTGGCATTTTGAGTTCTCCTTCATGCGATGGTCATTTGCGACTGCAAACAACAAACGGGAAAGCGATAAGAAAAAGATCTTGACAAACAATCAAGACAAGAAAATAATATAATTCAATGTAACGTTTAAAAGGCCAACAATGTTTATTCACGAAGATATGCATTGAGTGAAGTGTCTCTGGAAATCCTGAGTCATGAATAAAACCTCGCAGTCGGGCCGGGGGAAAATGCGCGACGAAAGTTTTCAAGCACATGCGGAAAAGCCCCTGGGTACCGACTCTCACTGGACCATTTCCAAACGGTTAAGCGAATGCTTTCTCCTGATTGGGCACAAAAAATGCTTTGTATTATTGTGCCCAATCGGCGAACAGCATTTCCTGAGTTCCTTTAGTGAGTTCGTACACGACGGCTATTGACTCGATCACGGCTTGTCTGGCTCATGCACCAAAGATGGGATTTGAACGAAGTCAGGAATCTTTCAGTTTGATATAAACGCTACATTTCAAAATACTGGTAGTCTTTACACTAGAGCCTAAATAAGCTAAGAAATATTTCAAGACA